TTTCTCTTCCCTGCCCTTCCCTGCCCTTCCCTGCCCTTCTCTGCCCTGCCCTGCCCCTTTCCTGCCCTTGCCCTTGCCCTGCCCTTTCTTCTTATACTTTGCCTTTTAGCCGGAACTATAAAAGAACCAAATATTGGTCCTAAAATGTTTTGCCTCTGAGAATATGAGTGGAACTTTAAAACTTTTGAATGACAGGATAAATTACCTACAAGAAGTTCTCCTTATTCACTTGATATGTGTGATATGTTAAAAAATCATCTCCAAGGTCAAAATTTTTTTCAAAATGCCTTGAAACCACATTAATTCACTGCAGGGGAATGTAAACAAATACTTCAGCACTTGACAAAGAAATACTGGAGTATTAAAATTCTCTTTTCTTTGTGCAGAAACACGAACAGATAGAACAAAGAAGCTGTTTAGACACTACACAGTTGGATCCTATGACAGCTTTGATGCTTCAAGGTAAGAATTTTTCCTTTTGGCCACAGTCTTTACAAAACCTTCCTGGGTTTTATTTAATTGTTACTTTTGGTTTAGATTTTGGAGGGAAAGAGGGAAACAGGTTATTAAACAGAGCTTTTTAGGATATCATTCTACATCAAAATTGGGTTTTATAACAGCTTACTTTGTTCATATGGGATGGGTCTGCAATAATAGTGCGTAGTGAATTAATGTGTCACTGTTTTGTTTCATGAGTGATGAGAGAGATCAGCCTTTCACAGAAGCAGTGCCAGCTGCTTCTACAGTCGAGGACCACTTAAGTTGTTGGATTCTTCACAAGATCAAACATTTTATCTGTTCTGGCTGACAAGGAAACCAAAATAAAATGTTGTCATTTGTTGTTCTGAACATATCTTTACAATCTAAGTAGACCTGAAACTGCTAGAAATGAGGCATTTAGAAATTAGGTAATTTATTTGCAGTTTCTGCTGAGAATTCATAATTTTTAAGCAGGTTCTTCTCCCCCACACATATACCTTGGACATCCAGGACATCCTTGTAGATAGGATGATTTTTAAAACACAGAACTTCAGTTAGCTGTTGATGTCTTCTTGGGAAAATTTTGGTGGCATACTGGAATCCTTATGGTTCTCTCTTGATTGTCCAATTACAGCTTGGGTTTTTTTTTGTTTTCAAGAAAAGCATCTTTATTGTAGAAGAATTCTGAAATGTGCAAAGCAATGGTGGCACAATATTCAAAGAAAAAAAAAGAAAGAAAATGTGATAACTGCTGGGTTTATTAGGTGGTCTTAATTCTTGTTCTGAGGATCATGTGTAGTTTTTATGCCAGTTGAATAATCTGGGGAGAGAGGAGGGCATTCAGGTTTGCTGAAGTAGTTTGGATACCCAAGATGTCCCGAAAAATATTTGAAAAACACATAAATCTGTAATTCCTTGAGTTGTGATTTGATTGAGTTTTGCGATGTTGGCCGGAGAGGGAAGGTTTGGTGAAATGATGGGAGGGGGAGTTCCCGAAGCTTTGCACTGCTGGACACGAAGTGATTGACTGGAGAGTCTAATAATGATAAAGTTGTCAAGAGCTGGTAGCCTGTACTGTGAAATAAGTAACAGCAGAGTTGACTTCTTGCAAGATTCTTTGAGGGATCATTATTCTATAAAATTCACAGCCTTGTCCCTGTGTTTCAGTGTTAATGGATAGGGTTGTATCTGCACAAGTAGAAGCTGTGGCTGCAGCGTGTTGCCTCAGAGGTACCAAATAATTCCACTTGGAAACCTCCTGCTACTTTCTAACAACAGAATTTTTTCATTAGAAAATGTCATTTCCATCAAAACCTTCCTGTCTTTTTGTTTTTGGAGGGAGGGAGCTGTTGATTCTAAAGCATTTGGATTTTTTGTTGTCCTTTTACCAAGAAAATTCAGGTCCATTCTTGGGAGAGAATAATGTCATCTGAAATGGTGGTTACAGAGGTCGTTTTGAAAGCAGGAGACCAAAACCCAAATTCAAACCAAGGGCTTGAACCTCATCTCAGTGGTGCTCAAGTATTTTTAACCTGTGAACTGTTAGGGATGAATGGATCACACTCTGCTTTTGGGAAGTCATAGTAAGTGTGTGAGGTGTTTGGGGGAAAAGTGGTTGTTGTTTTTTTTTTTTCCTTAAGGTTTATGTAGTGCAACAGTAAAGCTCTCAAAAAATTCACATTACTTGATTCAGGACTACAGCTGAGAAGGAAAGTTTATCAGAAAAAAATGAGGTTTTGTACAGCCTTATTATTGATACATTATTTATGAAACGTGTCTGCAATTGTTCCTGATTCTGGCATTGATATTTTTTAATTGTCTGAGCAGTGAGAGGGAAAGCAACAGAGGTCTCCCGGCACACTGTGAGTAAAGCAAGGCTTTGATGAAAACTCATCCTGAGTTCCACAGAGAATCCAAAACACAGTGGATCCATTTTGAAGGGTAAAAGCGGAAATTGAGAGGGAAAGGTAGGAGAGGGTAAAATTAATGGGAGATTCCAAGAAATACAGTGGAAAGGTAGACTTGCTTAACACACTTTTAAACAGAGAAAAGTGTGATAATCTAGAATGTTTATCAAGTAACACTAGAAAAAATATAAAAATTGGTTTGAGAGTCTTAGTTTCCAAAACTAATTAATTGCTGGAAACAAAAACACTTGTTCCTCTGAAGTGGATTTAACAAGTCATTGTAATTAGGCATTTACAGAGAACTTACACTGTGGTGAAATTTAGACTTCCTTTTGCATCCTTTACAAAGTGAATGCTAGTCTGATACTTTTTTCTTACACACAAAAAAAAGAGAGTTTGAGGACTCTCTGTCCTAAAACTGCAGCAGCACTCAAAGTTTTGTCTCAGATACTTGACTGAGGCTTCAGATCAGCTTTTTGTGCATCCTAAATGGTAATTTTCCTGGTGCTTATGTGTTGCTGCTGAGGAAAAAGAATTTGCATTTCAGAATCTGGTTGGAGATTAGTATGTCTTGTGAGTATGTAGAGATTTAATTCTTCACATGGGCTTCTTCAGGGAGGGGAGTTATTAAGAGGCAAACAAGGTGTCAAACTAACAGCATTCTTGGTATTTGTACTGCTTTGATGACTTTGTTATCATTTCCCATCAAAGTAGGGGGAAAATACAGTAAAACAGATTTAAGGCTGGCAGCTCAGGTTTAATAAACATTTGTCAGAAGGCCATTGTTGCCTATGTGCTGAGAACAGCTCTGAATCCAAAGTATTAACAAAGCTGATCCAGTTCCTTTCTGGAGATGATGTGGGGGAGTGAAGGGAAGTGCCTGCTCCTTTCTTTTTTTCTTTCTCCCTCCCAAAGGGCAAAAAATTGCTGAGTAGAAACACTCTGTTCAGAAATCTGTATTAATGGGCTTATTCACATGCAGGAAAATACATTGTACATGGCATTTTTCATCTTTAGGAAAATGTGCAGCTTGAGTAATGGAGGTTCATTAAACCCTATTCCAGCTTTGCATAAGAGATCGGTTATCCATACATTAACTTCAGGAAAATGGGTAGGATACTTACTAAGAGGGAGAAAGGCGGTGAGACTTGCTTGCCAGTGCAAATAGTCATTAAATATCACACAAATATAATATTTGAAACTCCCAGGTCCAATTTATTATCTGCTTTAACTGCTGATGGCAGACATTAATCCTGTTATGCAAAAGTGATGCCTCTTGCTGCTGTTACTGCTTCTATTTACATGGATTTCTTTACTATTTTATTAAAATCTTGTAAGAAATAATCACGTTCAATCATTTTCCTTTAATCTGATGCAGATGGACAAATGCTGAATGGAAGGATAGGCTCTGTTGCAAAGACAACATGTGAGAGAAGGTAAAGTTTGTTGTGCTAACAGGAGCTCTTGTTGGACAAACAGGAGTAAATACACATTCCCTAAATATTTTTCCCAGGCTGCAGCTCTGGAGGCTGAGGTGGCAAGTGGGATGGGCAAAGATTCCTTCTTTCCCTAGCAAAGGCTTCCAAAGTATTATAAATACTCTTGAAGTCTATTTAAAGTTCATGACTACTTTTAATTCAAAGAAAATTATTTGTAGGCCTTAAATCAGTTACTTCAACAAAGCTGGATTCCAGTTTAATAACAGAAATATTGCTAAGGCATAGAGTGGATGTTGAAATTTTTTAACAAAGTCTGTATTTATTAAAAAAATAAAAATAAGGTAAACCTTTGGAAATGATAATTTTTTAATCTACTTTTTAACTGAAGTGAGGGAATTGATTAATTCTCTCAAGATAGGACAGTGAATAGTTCAGTCAGGAAAATCAGAGGAGGCAAAATGAAGTTATCAAATTAAAATATGTGGAATTAATTTGTGTTTAATTTCAATTGTGAAATGTTAGCACCTTTTTAAATGTGATGTGACTGATTACACAGTGATAACAGACATAAATAATATGAGCCATTTTGGTACTAGGTAAAAATGACAAACTTGATTTGCTGGAAAACATGATCCAGTTGCCTCCATGAATTTGGAAACTTTAGAACACGGCAGTGGAAACTTTTCCTACTGCATTAATTGCACCATCTCCCTCCCACCCCCACCAGAACAGGGAAATAGCAGAAGTCAATTGCAGAACCAAATGCCGACTTCAATGCAATCATGAAACATGCACATAAATATAAGGTTTTCTGGCTATTCTGTGCCTTCTCTTCCCACTATTATCGACTTTCACGTGTAGGTTTTTCTCTCACCACTATAATGGTCCTACTCACTATATGGGAGAAGTTTTTTTGATGCCTTTCCTTGCCATCCTGTGGCTCCAACAATATTAAGAAGCTCATAGGATGTAATAACAAATAACCCTCTCCAAAGGCTTGTTGCCATGAAGTTAATGACAGGACCAAATTGATTTGCCTTATGGTTTTTGCTCTATTTTTCTGGGTGAAGAAGAAGAGGGAAATTGGATGGTGTAGCCTGGGAGGTACGTGTAAGACAGCTTAATTAAAAACTTAATTCATTAACCCTAATGTCCCTACTTGGAGTCAGGTAGCAGAATCCACATCCCAGGAGTGTAGAAGTTGACAGAAGCAACTCTTCAAAAGCCAATTGACATACAAACACCTCATAAAAAAAAGAGGAGATTCTTCTCAGATGTTCTTTCCCAGCAATTCTCTGTTGATGTTGTCATTCTGCACTGTCAGATAGGCCAGCATAAGCTTTAATCTTAAACAGCTCAAAGACACTCTTTGGCACAGCTGAAGCTGTCTGCCCCTGTAATTCATATTGTGGAGAACTTTTTAAATTTAATTTTTTTTTTAACCCACAGAATGTGCCTGTTGAATTTGTCCCAAAGCTGTCATGTAAGTGGTGCTGTCTTGTTGGTTAAAGCATAAGGTGTGTTACACTTTTTTTTAGTGGAAATTCTGAATTTGATGCAGAAATATTTTCATCTAGTTGATATCTGGTTTCCTGTGGATGTTTTACATAAATAATCTTCCTTCTGGAAAAATGCA